CTCTTTGTCTATATGAAGGGCATTTGCTTAATTTAAAAATTATGTAAATCATAAAATATTGCACATATTCAAAGAGTAAATAAAACAATATTACAAACATCCATGTACCCCTATTCAGAATTCACTCTATTTGCTTCATCTCCTTATAAGAAATAAAATGCAACAAAACACAATGACCCATCTTCCTACCTCTTCCCCCTCCCTGCCTTCTCTCACCAACCTAGCCACCATTTTACAGTCAGCGTGTGTTCTCCCATGCATGTTTTTATATTTTTACTATGTAAGTGTATAGGCATTAATTTTAATGAGAGACTTTGTCCAGTACATTACAGCAGAAATTACAACACTTGCCTCTGCAGGTTTTCTGAAAAGACAGCTGGAGTAGTAAGCAGCCAGTGCCCAACCGAACCTGGCCCTCTCCAGCATTTGGTGGTGGAAAAACAGGACTCATGTTAGCTTTACAAAATGTGATCAGAGGGGGATAAAATCAGAAAATCAAGATAAGCTTATCCCTTTTTCCTTTTTTCTTCTTTTATGGATGCCACTTGGAAACCACTGCTGTTGGTGGTAGGGAGCCCTAGAAAAATGTTAGGCTGTTTGGTTGTGTGTATGCATGCACACATTTATTTATGTATTATTTGTCTACTGCCAAAGGGCTGCATCACTAGATTCTCATCCAATTTTCTGTACAGAAAAACACCATGGAGCATTTTTGTTTATCCAGATCTTTTTTCTTAGAAGTTTGGTGAAATGTCCTTCCTGGATTGCCACTCGTGATATGCATATGTACAAAGATAGACTTACACATATGTAGTGTGTTTATACATGTACACACCCCCACACATATGTGTGTGTTTGCTGAAATGTAGTTTTGAACAGCACAGCTAATTAATGAGTACATTTTCTTATTCAATTCATTCTTCACAAATTCTCACATTCATGTCTTCTCTCCCATTCCCAGTGCTACCTCATTAATACAAATCTCATCATCATAAACTGGAGTCTGCAAAGGTGTTTTTATGGCTCCTCCTTTTAGACATCATGGTTTGAGGCCATGTTCATCAGTTGGCTATAAGACCAGTTCCCCTAAAGCACTACCTGTCATTCCTCTCAAAATTGAAAAGCCTCTAATAGCTGTCTAATTGTGAATTGTGATCCTGTCTGCTGGGTGCCTCCTTGATATTTCTTTATAATCAAATCTCACTTTACTCCTGGATGACAAAGTATCCAGCCACATTTTCCACTTCTCTTACAACTAAGAATTGATGGAGGAGATTGTAAGAAGAAGTTGTGGATGGGAATTCTGGGAAGGCCTCCTAAAGAGGAAAGACATACCTCATAATGGGTGCCTTTTACCCACCCCTTCCCATTTTTCCTGTTGCCAAGAATTTACATGTGAGGGCTAGAGCTCCAGCAGCCACCTTGAACCAAGAGGTAACTTTGAGGATAAAGTCATATGCTAAGAACAGAAATACAAAAAGATAGAAGGTACCTGAGTTTCTGATGGTCATAGAACCATCCTCCCTGCCCTGGAGAGAAAAATAAACCTTTCTGTGTTTGTCACTATTATGTGTGGTTTTCTGTTATGGGTAGGCCCAAAATAGTAGTTTGTTCTGGTCACAAAGTTAGCTATTTCTCCAATCCAGCCAATGTAATATGGTATTTAGTTTCAATTCATTGTTTCTCTTCTGAAGACAGCGGCTTACAGTGAGAAAGAGTTCAAGCTCAGTCCTGCCTTTGGTGGCAATGCCATATTTTGCTCCTGACCATTTTACCCTCATTTTTCCTGTCTGGAAACAGAATAATAATAATATGCACATCAAATGTTTTTTAATTGTTATTAGCCTGATGACATCAATAGGAAAAATAGTTGAAGGAAGGAAGAGGTGATAAAACTCAAATCAGGATATTTTCCTACTTGATAACAGCCCTTGTAAGTAGCTTAGTGGTTGAAAAGGTTCAGGCTGCTGATTTTTAAGAGTCAATGGGAAAAAATATCAATAGATTGGACCTCAGTTATGGGCATTTCACTCTCATTCTCATGAATGACTAGAATCTGAGTATACACTTTACATTTTCCTTAAGCCACATGATGTATAGATAAACACCTAAGTGATACATGCATAGATTTCAGGAACTTTGGCTCCAGGGGAATCACTTGCCCCAAGTTACTGGAATGGAGAAGACACACAACTTCTGACTTGGTACCTTCCATTTGGATATGTTGATGACTTGAAGAAACAGTTCTTTTCAAATGGGCCCAGAATTGCAAAATGGCAAACTCTGCTCAAACTCTTATATTGCATTATTGCTCTTCTGCTCTTATGCACATTAAACTCAATTGGTTGGATAAAAGTCTTGCTGAATTAAATTTGATTTGATTAGGAAATCTCTGTGTATATATGGGCACAGCACAGTATGTGTGGGTTAAAAAATGTCTGGTTATTTAAAATACTGTTTACAGGTGGATCAGTTTTGCCATGGCTTCCTTAGTGAACTCAGGTTTTGTTCATGTGGATCCATCTTGCGAGTTAAACAGGCCTGGGCCCTTTGTTGGGAATCACTCAAGTGGTAGAGGGCAGCCTTTCTGAAGAAAAGTAACAGCCCCACAAAGTCTGGGACATTTGAGTTTCTTCAACTCCTTTCTGCTCAGGCTCCCTGTGACCCACTCTTACCATTTCCGAACACTGTCATCATTTCCTTTTCCAAACATTTTCCTTGCTCTTCCCAGCCCTGTCTTTCATCAGGCTCCATCAGGAGTTGACCACCAGGTCCTGTCTGCTCTGGCCTAGGTCCTTAGCTGCGTTTCAATCCAAATAACGACCTTTCATGTTATTGCTGGAATACTGAAACAATGCAAATAGAAAAATTTAAATAGAGTTGGCTCAAAGCATTTCAGGGGGAGAAAAATATTTTTTAAAGGGTCAAAAATAGGAGCAGGGCCAGTGGTTTGAGAGCGTTAGACACCTGCTGCAGCAAAAAGACTGAATCCAGGATGAGCCTGCTTTACACGTGTCACTTGAGGCCCGAATTCCAACCTCAGTCACCAGGACTTCCACTCTGTAAGATATACAGGAAGGAATCTTGCATTTTAGAGGTCATGAAAAAGCATTCAGGTGAGGGAGCAAAGGATTAAAACCTTATGAAGATCTTCCCAGGAATTATCAAAGGAATTATCAAAGGTACATATCAAAGTAAAACATGAATCAAGTAATATCCTTGGAATTTCCACTCCCAGAACTCTGCTGTGCCACCGATTAGATGCATGATGGGCTAGAAGTCCCTAGAAGGAATTTTGTGATTGTCTGGAATTCACTGAGAACTTTTTTTTTTCCTTGGTTTTGGTGATTATTGAACAGAGCTAGTGTTGGAAGATCAACAAGGTCTCCTATTTTCTGAAATTTTGCATAATGATCTTAGACCTCACTCCATAAATCATCCAGGCACCTTTAAGGAAGTTCATCAGTATTTTCATTCACTGAATGCTTAATTAATTTATTTTTTGGTTTTATTTTCCCTCTTTGTTTTTATTTGATAATGGAAATATTATTTATATACACTAAAAAGCAAAGATGAGTTTTGGCAAATGCCATGTAGGCCACACTTCCTAAAGAGAGACATTCCCATCACCCCAGAACATGCCCTGTGTACCTTCCCAGTCAACACCCCTCCCCCTTTAGGTAACCCCTGTTTGGATTCCTGTCACCATAAATTAGTGGTGCCTTTTCTAGAACTATATAAAAATGGATGAATACTGTGTGTACTCTTTAGAGTCTAATGCCTCATGTTTTAAGCATCTATAAACATCACCTGTTAGTTTTCTTGTCTGTATGCCGAGGGGCTGGCCTTGTAAGAATGGTTGCAAGTATTCTGAGGGGCCTAGGTTTCCTGGGGGGTGGGTGAAGAGGGGGATTGCAGCAACCCTTTTCACCTTCAAACAGAACAGCTTTGCCTTCCCAGGCCTTACAAACTAGGGTTCACTGGAAGATTTCATTGGAGGAAAGGGTTCTTTATAAAAAAAAATTGTTAGAGGACTGCAGGTCTAAACAATCCTTACTCACCTCTTTCCCTAGAACATTCTATAAATTACAAATAGTGTTTCCTGATATGAGAGCTGCAGCAAGCTGGTCCCCCTGAGGCCACGCTGGGAGACAGAGGCTGCCAGACGGGGCCCCCAGGGAGAGCCCAGGCACTAAGAGCTGTAATATTAGCACTGGTCAAATCAGATAGCGCCACCCCAACCGAGGCACAAAGACAATAGGCCGGGGGCCCTGGGCAGGGGGAAGCACAAAGATAGCATTCAAAAGACGTGACTCCCACAGCAGCAAGCCTTTCTATAGACTCCGGCAGAACCTGGCCCAGCCAGAATGTCACCTGACAGCCAGAAAACCATTTTCCACCACTAGCTTTTAAACTACTAAATATAATAAACACAGAAAGGAAAGTGCTGACACAGCCTTAACTGCAGAGACAAACTGAAACTGCAGTTACAATCATGTAAACAAACTGGGTTCCAAATTATAACCTTGCCTTCCCAACAGGCAGCTTGAGATTACCAAACATCTGGAGACTGGAGCGAGACTACAGAGGGCTGGTCAGTGGAGAAAGGGCTTCTCAAAGCCCAGGTGCTTACATCCAGTCAGGGAATGCTAAGCCTTGTTGTCTGTCTTCGCCCTCAGGAAAAGATAGGCAGGAGGAGACTTCTCGATCTTTACAGAGCACAATTTTTCCATATAACAAATGAAATATGGGCTCCTTTCTGTCACTGTGTCATCATTACTTGTCTTCCCCAAGTGAATTTGTACTAATCCTTTTCTCCCTTATGTTTTCCCAGATCATTTTGTGTTTTCATATTTCTCTGAATATCTGCAGGGTTCAAAACTATCAAACGACAACAGCAGCAATACCACAGATTAGAAAATAATGCCATAATGCTAACAGTGACAATTAATCGTAAGATCACGAGTGTGCACACAGCCCAGTCAAGGCTGACAGCTGACCTTCTGATCCATTAAGTTACGTGTGGAACTTGGCACCCATGCAGGACCGCCGGTGGGAAGGAAGCCACAAATCTGAAAAAAGGAAACAAAAGAAGATAAATATAAGTGTTTTTTTAATTTTTTTAAGTCCCCCAACACTTGCTTAATTTGCAACTGCTCTTCTTTGTATGTTTAAATAGGCTCTGGTTTCAGAGCTGTCTCTGATTTTGAATAAATGCAAATAGACTTAGATAAAATTTCATTCCAAAGGCGAGATGGTTTCAGAGAAAGGAACTTCACCACAAGGACTGGGATTGCACACTATAGGCATGAGACAAGGTTTGTGGAGCACAAAGACCTACTCTCCTGTGGACTGGACACAGGGATTTGGAGTCCCAGACTGGGAAGATGATGACTAAAAGGCAAACGTGAATCTTAAACAACTTAAACAGTTTGTGCTAAAGAGGGTACGGAGTATAGGTCTTAATGAGTAAATGCTGCAACCATGACCTGTGGTAAGAAGACAGGTCATTCTTCAGGGCAAGCATCTGAGCATGACGCTGTGGGGCTGCATAGACTGCATTACATGTGATCGCATCGGGCACACTTCCCACACGTGTAAGCAGATGGAAGGGGCAGCCCAGCAGGCTGTGGCGTCTGCTCATGCAGCAGATGATGTCTCCAAGTGTCTGTGCGCCCGACAAGCTAGAAAGCTGCTTTTCAGATAACTGTGTCATGCAATTTTTGTTTTTGTGGGGAACTTAGAAATCATAGTGAAGCAGAAGTTAGTTGAACAAATGTCTGGGTTGCCGCTACCCCGAATGAACCATTGATAACATTTTGTCATATCTGCTCTGGTTTTCTTTTTAATTAAAAAAAAGTAAAGCATAGGTATCAGCTCTTTGACAACCCTACTCCAAGGCTAGACCACAAATTTGTTTGTACTTTTCAGTCTATTTTATTTTTTTTTACATTTGCATATGATATGTCTCCAGGACACTAAACATTTGCATGTGTTGCATGCAACACTTTGCATCTTTCTACACTTTTGATAACAGTATTTATGTGAGAGCTCGCCCTGTTGATCTGTACCAGCTCATTCCCTTTAACTGCCACACTGAATAAATATATGCTCAGTCTTTGTCTTTCACCCAATACCCAATGTTTATGGCACCATAAAACCACTTATATCATTAAAGTGATTGTTAGTTATGTGTGGGTGTGCATGTGTACGGGTGTATGTGTGAATTCTTTCTGTAACTCAGCGAGCTCTGAGCTTCTCAAGATGCTGCCTTGTCTTGTTTTAACAGTGGCTCTTTACTATGACTCCTTGCAAGAATGGACACTCAATGTGTTGAAAGGCAAAAAAATAGTTGTTAAGAATCAACCTGCTTAGTATTAATCGTGCTTCCTTTTAAAACAACACCAAGGAAGGCTTTGGAGTTGTATTTACCAATTTTCTTCAAGGTATCCTCACTGCTCCACTATCATAAGTTTTCAAGTCCCAAGCCATCAATATGACCTGGCTGTTTGCTAGACAACCAGAAACTCTGATAGGATGAAGCTGTGGATCAAGACATTTTTAAGAAGCAGATTCTAAAAGCATCCTCAAAGAAAAAACTGATAAAGCCAAGAAGCAGCTTATGTTTATAACTGTTGTTGTGGCTTTATGGCAAACACCAGTAAATATATATCATTATCCTTGACCTAATACCTAGGTCAATGACTCAGTGAAAATTTTCACATAATGATTAATAATAATAATAAGCATTTTTATATTATATATAACACGTATTAAGAATATTTTGCGGGCTGAGTTATGCTAATTCTTTCACCTAATTTCACTTAATTTCATCCTCACAATGATCATAGGAGGTAGGTATTCTTAATAACCCCACTTCTGAGGTTATTAATGATGAGGAAAGGAAAAGCAGAGAAAAGATTTAAACATTTGTCCAAAATCAAACATTGCAGAGGAGGCTATCCAGGAATCTCTTCCAGGCTGTAAGCTGTCATGGGGCCTTGTTCTGAATTACTGAGAACAGGCACAGGGTTTAAAGATAAAACTACAGAGAGGAAAATTGAAAAAACAGTGTCACTGAGGTAGCTTCCAAAGTTTGCTGTAATACAAACAGACAGCAGCTCTTTCATGATGAGCCTCAAACCAAGAATAAATCATATGAGAGTACTCCAAGTAGACAAATTCAAAGTGATTTTCTCCTGATGAAGGAAATTTAAAGTAGCAAGGTCAAGCCTCAGAGCCTTCCAACTTAAACATACCCATTTTTAATTCTTCTCTTGAGAAAACAAGGAGCTGCGAATTTGTTCATGGCTCAATGAAGGCGAGGCGGCTCACTTTGTTTACACAAGATTCAAAGCAAAAATGAGAATCACTCCCCTGGATAACTTTAGCCCAGAATGTGAGTTCTTTATACATTTTTAATTGGGGCACAAATATATTAACAGTGTGGTTACTTTGTACTTTCAAAAGAATCTGTTTTGTAACTGATTCATATTTTTCTTTGGAATACATTTATTTCTGGGCATGAAACAGTTCATTTTGTTAAGCCATCTGACCTGAGGTGAGGCTGGCACAATTTCCCATGACTGTGCCCAATTAATGGAAATTGAAGGTTAAAGGATAAATAAAGTCCTTTTTAACTTGGTTTATTAATATGTTATTTATAAACAGTACTTGACTTGGTCTATTTTGTTTCAGTCAGTAACTATGTACAGAACAAACTAGCAAATGCATAATGTGCATTTTATCACAAAGTTTCATTGTAAAAGTTTTAATATTGTGGCAAAAAAATTAATGTCACCTATCCCTGTCTGTCTGTCTGTCTATCTATCTATCTATCTATCTATCTATCTATCTATCTATCTATCTATCTATCTATCTATCATCATCTCTTTTTTATTCCCAGGCTTCATCAAATCTATGGAGCTGGAGACTGCCTGATTGTATTGCATTAATGGCCTACATTCTTCACCCCTGAGGCTTGCCCTTTTGTCATGTGACTTTGCAGTTCCTCTCACTAAAGAGGTTCAATCTCTTTTCCTGTTCCCTTTGATTCTGGTTTTGGTCATGTGACTTGCTTTGGTCAATGAAATATTAGCAGGCATACTGCCTGTAGAAGTTTGAAAAAGTTTTTGCTATGCTTCTGTGTGTTCCCTTGTTCTCTGTGATTGCCATGAGGACGTGTCTGGGCTAGCCTGTCGTGATTGACAAACACGGAACAGAGTTGACTCACGTCAATTGCCTTTGCCAAGGCCAATCTAGACCAGCCTAGGTCAGCCAAGCCCCGGAGGGAGCACAGGAGACACCCCTGGCAGGGCGAGCAGGGCTGCCTGCTGACCAGCAGCTGACCACAGACACATGAGTGGGCCCAACTTGAAGTGAAAGAAACACTCAGCCCACCCTCAGATTCTTGGACTTATAAATGCCAATTATTTCAAACCCTTGGATTTTGAGGCAATTGGTAACTACCCAAGGTAACCCCATGTAATGTTAATTGTGCAATAGGTAACTGATACGGAACTTACTCTTTACTCAGTAAAAAGGAGGCTCACATAGAAGATGGTTTAAAATTAGGTAATAAAATGCAGCAGATATCTACCAAATGTCTGCTGTATCAGACAAGGTTTAACCAGGAAAATATAAACTGGTCTAAGTATGTAAACAGAAGGACTGTAATGCAGACATTGATCACACAGGTGAAGGTGAAGATGTGAAGGCAAACAGAGGAATGTGGCATCCAGGAATTCAGTAACTGCAGGATATCCCTGAGCCATAGGGACAAGGGACAGAAGTGCTGACACTGGAACTCGGGGGCCAGAGCCACCCAGCAGAAGCCGAAAGCTCCGAGGGCCTCTCTCGTGGGAGCTCAGCCCTAGAGGAGTCAGAACTGCCATCAGAGACACTCTCTGAGGCGGTGTGGGGAAGAAACACCCTGGCTTCTCCCTCGTTCAGTCTCCATTCCCCCTCTAGGGCTGTTCTGTGGCTGAGCCCAGATGGGAGCCAATTGACTCAGGAACCTGGGCAGCACAACCCTCAGGGGGCAGCCTAGCAGCGATGGAACGGGAAGACAAGGAGGGGGTCAGAGGGCAAGCCGGCCAGTACACCACCTGACGGGCAAGACGCCACGAAGAGCTGAGGGCCACGTCCACAGAAATGACGGAGTCAGAGCAGACGCTGGGCTCGAAGGTTAGAAAGGGCCTAACAGGTGCAGGTGAGGGAAAGGATGTTCCCGTAGCAGCAAGTGTGGGCAAAGTGCAGGAAATATTAGGGGGAATAGCAAGTAAGCATTCTAGATGGGCTTAGAAGGCTATGTATTTGGAAGGAGGGTACAGGTATGGAGACAAAGCAATGCAGCAGGTGAGCTTGGCAAATTTTGGACTCCAATCCAAGCAGGCTGGACTCTGTTCTGAAGGCAACCGGAAGTGAAATGGTTCTGAGCAGAGAGTAATATGATTCATATTGTGTGTTATGAATAATACTCTGATAGAAATTTGAGGGATAGATTGGAGGAACACAGCTAGATGAGGGGTTTGCAATTAAGTGCAGACCTCAAGGAATCTACAACCCTCCTCCCCGCAATACATTGGTGGGAGTTGGTATAAGTATTCAGTTTTCTGAGAGATTGGATGTAGCTTTATGTGGCGTTCAGTGGAGCTCATGACTCTATCAAAAGCTGTAAGCACGGGAAGCAGAGAAACTATCTAGAAAGCTCCTATAGTAATTCAAATGGGATAAAAAATGTAACAGTGCCAATGGGAAGGAAAAACTTAAAAAGACATAAACATTTATGAGGCACTCTCTAAATAAATAGATGGATGTGAATGGAAATCCAGCAAAAGTAAGAGATACTAAAAGGTTTAACTCTGAGCTACATCCACCTACTATTCCTTTCCTTCTTTCTATAAAATGGAGGAAGCAACTCACATTTCCAGGATACCATAAAGATATATTAAATTGAAAAGTTCCAAAATAAACACATGGCACATATATCACCACTGTCCTCCTCCCCTGTTCATCCCTGATATTACTAATTAGATGCAACATTTCGTTACATCTGAGCCCACACACAATT